TATTTAAAACTGTCAAGAAACTTTTTTTTTTATCTAAAACTGTCAACCTGAAATGTTTCAGCATATATACATGTATATATAGGTAAAAGCACATTTGTATAGGGTGTGTGTGCGTGTGTGTGTGTGCATGCGTGTGCGTGTGCACATGCGTGTGTGTGTGTACACATGTAATATGTACACAAATTCATCAAGATTTTACCAGAAATATTTCTTTAAAACATCCTTATGCACTTCCAGTTACAATTTTCTTGCCTTGTTGAATGGGAATATATTTACAGCATGACAAATTGTGATTTTTACCATATTCTATGTGGCTTTATTACAACTCTTTTTTTATTTTTTTACTACAGAAAATAAATGCAAAATTCAACAAAGTGTATATGTAAAGATTTGCTGCACACACCTTAAAAATGTGTAGCGTAAGAGCTCAGTTTTACTAATTCCAAATAATATTCTATTTTTCCTAAGATTGTCTTCTACACTATTTACATAAAATTTTCACCATCCTCACTAAAAATTGGTAAATGTAACCTCAGCATGTATCACACTTCAAAGCAGCTATATTTCTTCATTCAAAAGTTATATGACGACAAAAAAATGAACACCCATTTTACAGAGAAGAATTTGCTAAGGACTTTCATGATTTTCATTACAAGTGAAATTTCTAATTATATCTGAAATCTTGTCATTTAAAACCATTGTGTAGGTATCCTAATAAATACATATGGCACTCACTATGATTGAAGCAACATTCAATAAATTAATAGTGCTACACCACATTAAAAAGGATACATGCTGAAGTTATCATAAGATTATCCTCCAATATTATTCATGTAAAAAACGTCTACTATTTAGCATGAATATCTACACTTCAGTGGGGAGAGGGACGTGTGGGCAATGTGCACATGCATACATATAAATACACATGCATGTTTAACCATGTGTAGGTATATGTACACATGTGATATCCATGTGCATGTCTAAGTGGATGTATTTGACCAACTATGCATTCCTTATTCACATTCAAAAGCAATCCAAAGCATTTGCTCATTCTAGATACTGAATTCTGACATGAAAGCTAAACAGTGGTCATTATCTTTAAATCATATTAAATGCTTTCACCATTTTAAATAATTTTGAAAATCAGAATTGAGATTTAATTTCTAGTCATATTTACAACTGAATCTTGTTATTATGAGTAGTTTTCCTGTCAAATTCTCAAGATCACTCATTTAATGATTTCTTACCTTCTATTTCAAGTTTTATATATATTCCTTTTCATATGTAATCACAAGCTTATACCACTACAACCTCAATAGCACATTAATGTTCCTATCCTTATTCCTGCTCTGGACTGAGTTTTCTATAAACCAGTCTAGTAGTGCAATCTTTGCACATCTCATGCCCATTTCCAGTCTGCCATGAGTACATTTCGAAAGTCCTTCTCCCTATTTCACCTGGCACTTGTGTTCAATAGCAAAATCACAAGCAATATCTCCCCTTTTTTTTCTTTTACAAAAGAAATGCAATTCCAAAACCTTACCATATACCCTTTGATTTGAAATGCAAATCCAAAACCTCCCTAAGCTTATATTGTAGACTATTAATACTTCTACAGTAATATTCCAAACTCCACAGCACTTTCTTTTTATATTATCCAACTGTTGTAATAAAACATAAATTTCATACAACCACCTTCATATATATATCAAAGCTTTCTTCACTAAAAACTCCCTAGTTAACCTGAAAATTGTGACATCCATCATATAAAAGAAAGTACACCATTTGATGGGAAAGCTTTTTATGAATTGGTCACGCCATCCATAGCTCCCATATGAAATAGAAGAAAAAAAAACAATGAATGAATCAAGCAGTTGCTATAGGGATTAAAGTGTGGAAAAGTCAAAACCAAGGGGTAATGGAAGGAAAGTTACTGTCTCACACAGTATGGTTAGCAAGTCCCTTACCATTTACTTATCCCTAATTTGAAAAGGTATGCCTGAAAAGCCAAATGGACATTTACTGTGCAAAAAGGGGGGACCAGAATTCCTATAAACCATAAAAATTAATCAAAGAAGTTACTTTCTCTATTACTCACACAGACTTTACTGTTTCTTCTCTCTTTCAACTCCTTCCCCATACAAATAACTATTATTTTTATGTCAACAATAGCTGCTTTCATTAATAACCTTAAAATCCTTCAACTACCACATCATGACCCATGGCAAGACCCTTCATGACCACTAGAGATGGCAGCATATCAAAATGTGCATGTATGAGTTAGCATATGTGTGTGTGCATTAATCTATAGCCCAAATAATAGGGTGCCCTACACTTGCTGTATCCCCTACACATCAAAGCAAATATCAAGAGATCTGTTTTGTCCTCGGGAAGATTTTGCAGCACAACAGCATAGATGTGATAGTATGACTAAATACCTATGACTACCAAAGTTTATCAATTTCTTTGTATAGGCTGAATAGCTTGGGAAAAAACAATTATCATCTTCAACAGCTGCAATCAAATATTTTCTTGCTTTGGAGTATAAAAGTCAACTGTATTTCTTATTTCAGCGAGTAGAGGGAGAGAGAGCGAGGAGAGGGAGAGGGAGAGGGAGAAGAGGAGAGAGAGAAGAGGAGAGGAGAGAGAGAGGAGAGAGGAGAGAGAGAGAGAGAGGAGAGAGAGAGAGGAGAGAGAGGAGAGAGTAGAGAGGAGAGAGGAGAGAGGAGAGGAGAGAGAGACAGAGAGAGAGAGAGAGAGAGAGAGAGAGAGAGAGAGAGAGCGAGAGAGAGAGAGAGAGAGAGAGAGAGAGAGAGAGAGAGAGAGAGAGAGAGAGAGAGAGAGAGAGAGAGAGAGAGAGAAAATGTTAGTGACTGTATGTGTAAAAGCTGCAACAAACACAGCAAGAGGTACATTCAGCTGCTAAACTACTAATACACTCAAAAAAAGAGCACATGAGTTTCTGCAGTAACCATTATAAGAGGGTAGAAATTAAGCATAACATCACTCCTAAACAAACACACACGTCCTAGTGCTGAATAAATAATATTCATCATTTAGAGCTTTATCTTGTTTTTTTAATTCTTTTATTTAAAATTCTTTTTTTTTTAATGGAATATTACACTGTATTTATCCCATTGCTCCCCTTTCAACTGTTATTTTTCTCTAATAAGAATAACTACATTTAGACTGAATTCTAAATTATGATACTCAAATAATATGTTAAATTCCTGCCAGGCTTTTATAAGTGAAAGTGATGGTAAACCAACTACAAAGGTTAACTAATAAAAACATGCATACACAATGATAATGATAATTGGCACAATTTCTACAAAGCCTCCATTTCTTTGGTATTTTCATTCCTCTTGAATCATTCCAGCAAACACAGAAATCAACAGAACGCAAACTAGATGAGATTCTATATTTCCTACCGTTCTTTAAAACTTAATAAGAACTATGGGAGGAAAAACATGTCACTTGGCCATATTCTAGTCAACAAGTATTTGGTAAATTTTAGTTTTGTCCTCCAAATTTCGTTAATGAGTTTACTAAATGAATATTGTGTTTCTAGACTTAAGAGGTCTAGAAACAGAGGTCTATATTTATACACACATAAAAAAAAGTATCAGCATACACAGACACATACATAGGTAGATATCCAATGCTTGCTAGCAGTCAACAGCCCAATCACACACACACACACATATATACATAATTCATTATAAAAAAAAAAAGAGAAAAAATGACAAATACTCATATACATACATTAGTTTCCATTATAAATGACTACATTTATATTCCCTATTAAGTCATCAGAATAAAATCAAATAAACTCCCTTATAATAATTATAATCTCAATGATAAATATGTAAATAATTCTGACTATGGGGATTCATTCTCCAAATAAAAATATCTTTCTACATATCGTGATCACAGCCTTGGCAAACTCTCCAGTAACTGAAAAACTTTAATTAACAAGACTAAGTATATCTCTTATTCTTGTTATGTATATCATTTAGGAGCTCACAATCTCGTGAAATCTGGAGGGGTATTTTGTATCTAAGATAAAACATCAATTCCATTTCACTCGACTGTACTCATGCCTTAGAGCAGGATATTGGCCGCAGTGAGTGCCGCAGCCATGAGAGTGAGCGTGTCCGAGAGGAGGTACTGCGACTGTGATGCTACAGTTTCCGCCCCACTTGTCTGCCAGCATGGTGTCACCTTCAGCACTTGGATTATAAGGGAGTCCAGGATGTTGGCTGGTGTCGGGTCTTCACATTTCTCGGTGTGCTTTACAACACAGTGATGCATGGCGTTTAATTTTCTGAAAGATTAATAATGAAAATTAACATTACGAGCAAGAGTAGGAAAGAAGCAACAAGGGGAAGGGGGGACTTCCAAAATTATGCAACATAATGAAACACATCACCACTTACTTGCAGTTTGCCTCGTTTATTGTAAAAGTTTGCGGGGATAGTAAGCTCATGTCTTCTTCCGCATCTTTTATCTCTGGAACCTTCTCTTCCACACACTCCCTAATGTTGTCTTTCTGACTGACGAGACACTCCTCGCCTTCCTCCGCCATGAACACTGAGGAGTGACAATAATTATTTTAGGTCAATTGCAACATCTCAGGAAATACCTTGTCTTTATCTCTGCCTTTGACTCTACTTCCAATGTTCCTACACTTTCTACATCTTTGCTTGATTCTCTCTTTCTTGTTCCTCTTCCTCTCCCACTCTCTTTATCCCTCTCTCTCTTCTTGTCTCCCTCTCTCAACCAACATCAAACTCCTTGGTTCTAAATAACAAAATGGCAGCATTACTTGAAAGGGCCTTATGTAAACATCTTAAGATTTTTGCTGTGCATTTCTCATACATACATAAATGAACAAGTTTTCTCTTGCTAAACAAGAAAACAATAATACTTACGGGCAATTCTGTCGCCATCTTTGTGACACACGAAATCTATCCCTGCATCGATGGCTTCTCGAACAA